CTGCTGAAATAGCACACAGCAAAGCAAGAAAGGAGAATTATTTTTTAAGTGAAGAGCTGCTCGCTTTACCTTGGAGCAGGCTCCCTGCTGACAGGGGATTCACAAGACCTGTACATCCCCCATCTCAGCTACCTAAAAACCACATCAATCCCCACCTTCCCTCCACTCTCTTCACACACATCACCTCAGCTGCAGCTACATTAATGTAGGACTGCTAAGAAACAGGATTATGACTGTCTACCAGCACTGACAAAGGGTGAAACCCCATCCACTACAACGAGGCAAAATTCCTCTCTTCCAAGCAGGAGAAATAACCATTTCTGACACAGTTGTGCATAACCAGAGCAAAACCAGAGCACGTGGCCTCTCAAGGATAAAAATATCCAGCAGATACCTTTAGCAGAAGGAGAACAAACCACACGTGTATTTGACCTAATCACAGCAGACAAAACCGCCTCATCCCAACAGCGTTCAGAGCCTCCTGATTCTGGGAGGCAAGACACTGCTGGGATGGAGAACACAGCGAGCAGGTCTTGCTCCATTAGTACCATGGTACTTATGTGCATGCACTGGAAAATTAAGGAGAGGAAAATACACGTTCGCAAGCTGCCGTGTTACCAGACATTACCCTGGATGTGCAGTGGCCATCTGTAATCAAGAATATTGTCAAATTACGAGCTGGTGCCACAAGTAGCTGCTTTTGTGAACAGCAGCAAACCCATCAAACAGCAGGAGCCAAGATGCAGCAGCCTGTCTCAAAGCAGAGCAATCAGCAGTTTCATTGAAATGGCTGGAATTTCTATAAACTACAAGGAAAACACAACTTACAACCTGGTTATTGAGTTCTCTGCAAGGCATTTCCCCCTTGGCCTGTTCACGGGCAGAAAGAAAAACAAAGTTCTGTGTATGCCAGGGGCTTCTTTAAGGCCATCATCTCCACAGACACTGTTTGGAAAATTACAGTTAACCCTTACAGCACAGGATGTGGTGGGCTCCGATGTTTCGCAGTGAATTGGCGTTTAAAGAAAAATTTGGAAGGACAGCACCTGTATAAACATTTTAGAGCACAACATCTCTAAATAATTAAGTGTATCAGTGAACGTTAGGGAGTCTCTAACAAAGAACGAGTTAACCTCCGACACATTAAGGACACAGCTGGCAATGGCTTCTGCCAAGGATTTTTTTCTTGATGACAACTGTTCCAGTGCCGCTTCTTCCACACCAAAAATTCCAGTTTCACTACAGAAGACATGCAGAGACTTAAGGTAACTCTGTAAAACACCACTGACGATGATGTGAAACCTCAGGGAAAAGCTACTGCTGAAAGGCATTCAGATCACATCAGTATTTCCTACCAAGGAGAGTTTTCCATGTTTTGTTAACACCTAGGAACACGCAGCATGGATCTGCAAAACGGAAAAGCAGAATCCAAATTCAACCAAGAAAACAAGCAGGCCCATTTCTTCTCTGCCTGTAGAAAAGCCATGGGGAAACGAGGCTTCTAAGTGTAGGAATTAAGTGAAGGAGCTGCATTACATGGGATTTCTCCAGGCTCAGCATCAGACAGGCGGCACTAACCCATCATTTCTCCTCACTCAGGTCTTGCCTGTTCTTCCCTCCAAATATCCCTTTTTTCCTTTCACTCTAACGTACCCAAGCAGAACCACACCACGAGCAACAGCCGCCTGTCGGAGCAGGAATCCAGCAGACTTTGGCCAGAGCTGCCCATCTCCTCCGGAGTCTTTTGGGGCTTTAAAACAATAAAGTCAAGAAAGGCACAATCCTGCTAAGCCAAAACAAGCAGGACTTGAAATATGCTCTGTTGAAAAAAGTCACTGGGAAATAAACCACACAAAGGCTGCATCCCTCCTAGGCTCTGCCCCCCTCGCTATGCTGCTTCTCCAAACGAGTCCTCTAATATGGGAATAAATCTCTATCGCAGCGCTGGAGCTGCAAGCAGCAAAATGGGTAATCCAAAACCAAAGGACAAAGAATGGAAAATTAGCTGCTCAAACCACAGGACACACGAAGGGTCAGCAGTGCCAGCAGAAAAATCTCCATTTCTGTAACAGAGGAAGTGGGGTTTATCACGGATTATTTCCACACAAGATCTGGCTGCCCCTGGAGGATGGAAAGCTGAAAGCTGGTTTATTTGCAGACAATATGGAAAGAGACACGGATGAGATGTGTAGGCTTGGGAAGGTTTTAGACCTCGTTGGCAGGCACAGGACTGAGGTCCTCAACCAACAGCGGCGATCTCTCCTGACGCAGCCGTTCCATTGAACACGGCAGCTGCACACCAACAAACCCACTCAAAGCAACTGGATTTGCTCAGACACTGGGGGCTGTGGCTTTTGCCTTTGGCAGCTTGGCCCCCAGCCCCAGCGATGACAAACAAAACTGCAGAGCTATGCAATCAACTCCAAGCTGGCGTCCGCCCGTTGTGAAGTGCGGTGATTTTATATCAACTCTGGTTTACTTAAAAGAATAGTAAATAACCAGTGTAGAGAGGACCTAGTTCCAGGAGCCATAAAATGCTGCCACAGACAGCAGCCCAGCGTGTTATTTACTGGACAGACCAGCACCTAAAAGCAGTTGTTAATATTACTCAAACCAGTGCTTTTCCACGACCTGTCTGCTCACCCCCCCAAAAAAAAGAGAGCTAAGTTGAAATACTGTACTGCTGCTCTGTAAAAATAGTTATGGACCTCGCATCCAAATAGTTCAATGTATTGCAGCTTCATGTGTTCTGTACTTGACAAATTTTAAGTGGCTCGTTCCTGGTGCCAAATGAATGCACAGATGGGGGAATGTGACAGCACAGCACAGCAAAATGAAAATCAGGCAAAATCACGCATGTAAAATTTTGGTATTGCCAAAATGGTAACTAAGGAATCGGTTGTTAACAGAGCTCCCACCAGCAGGAGGGGCAGAAGTGGCTGTGTGAGCTATAGGGCAAGCTTCAAATTACACGTGGATTATCTTCCTAACATGGGAATATCGGAGAGCACCAGGAGAGGGGTGCTGCAGCCGGCTGAACAACAGCAACTCCAGCAGCTTCCCAGTGACAGCCCTCAAAGTGGCTCCATTTCTCCACCTCTGACTGGGAAGCAGCGTCCTGAAAACTGCAGCCTGGCTGTTAAACATAGGTTTCGACTGGGTAGTCTTTATGGCTGAGGAAATACATCCCCTTCCAAGGAGGAGGCACAACATCATGCAATGTGGAAAGACCTTTGCCAGGTGCCATTTGGCAAAAAGAGAAATAAATAAATAAATAGAGAGCTGAAAAGAGGGCAGATGGCAACACCTGGAAGAAACCCCAGCATCCTCCTACCACTGTCCACTTCCAGAGGAGAACGACTGAGCCTCACGAGTTTGCTGCCCTCAGTCTAACGGTGCTCCTCCATCTGCCAACCTTTTGGTGAGGATTCAAGTCATCTCAGTTCTGCAAAATGTTCAGAATCGCAATTAGAAACCACCTCGATCTGCGCAAAGCACAAGTACAGTTCTGTGCAAAGAAAGTCATTTAAAAATCCCTCTCATAACGCGTAAGTCAAGTTTGTTTGTCTTTTTTGAAAGGAGAAAGTTGCTGGACAACACTACATTGCTCAGAGCACCAAATGTACATTCACATTAGCTGCAAAGGAAGATGAGTCTGATTAGCAGTTAAAAAAAACAAGAAAGGAGAGGCTTGCAGCAGTGTGATAACGCCTGCCACAAGCAGCACACACACACACAAAGTTTAGCAGGGCAGCAGAGGGACTTCACGCTGGCTCTGCAAGTGAACTGCAGGAGGAGGACATCACCAGTGGCCACAGCAGTGACTGGGGTCGTTATCAGCATCTCAGCCAAGCCCGAGTGAGTCAGTGAAGTCAAGACGTGACAGGTTCAAACACTAAACCTCTCTCACCCCGCGTAAATCCTTCTTGGAATTTCATTTCAAGATCAAGGAATGAGCTGTGGTCTGGCTTTAATTCTCAGTGGAAATACTCCACCTCAAAGTCCTATTTAACAGCGTATTTTTCTACTCGGGAGGGCTCCAGGATACGGTGCACAGAGAGCACCAACACATCTGAGCTTAAACACCTCAAGAACCTTTTCTCTGCTAAACATCCACAGGGTCCACCAGTCACAGGCCATTAACCACGGCTGTCAGGCCCACAGCTTTAAGGTGACCACTCTCTGCAGGTTGTTCATGCATTAAAGCAGAGGAAGAA